TAACTTAAGATTTCAGGCAACCCGGTTTTCAAAACTCTAGGTAGATATAGTAAGGTAGGAATACACTAATAAAGGAGAAGGAAAAAAAAGCCGAAGACTTCTCAATTAACAGGAAAATCCTTCAAAAAGGTCCCAGAATAAAACAAAAACAGAGAGGTCCCCTCGTCCCGTTCCTCGCGAGACCTTTCTTTTGACAGTTTGGCAAAACAAGTTCTAAAGAGGTTAAAAGGATTGTCGATAAAATTCCACAAATGAAAGCAAAATTACGCGGAGCCGATTACTAAATTTACCATGAAACGCCGCCTCCAATAAAACCCCGCAGATAAAACAAAATTGCCAATAAACGTCGCCCTTTAATAAAAGCAGGAAACCAATCAAAAGAATGCGGTATTCAAACATTATTAGAAAAATGGACTCTACAGCTCTGTAATCTACCATAAGCTAGACATTAATGTTACCGTAAATTGACGACGCGGTTCTCACACAATATTATTTAATAAGCGCAAAGAAAAGAGCGACAACACTCCATGTTTTGCTGTTGTGTTTCAATTTTATCCTTTGTTTCAATTTTATTTCCCTTTGTTTTGGGGAATGGTAATGAGTTTTAAAACGAAGGGAAATAAAATTAAAACCAAGGATAAAATTGAACCACAACATTAATTGCCATGGAATACCGCTCCTCTATCGACGTAACGAACGCGTTCTCCGTGTGACAAAAGCGTGACTGGAGCCGAAGCTATCTTCCAAGCTGAGTGTAACGAGCTGGTTCGGACCGGTAGGACCAAAACCTCACGGACCCTAATGCTTTACTCTCCATCTGCCCTCTAGGGCGCTAAAACTGAAATGTTGCTTTGAATTATTAAATCGGCATCTGAAAAACGTTTTAATTCTCTTTTTTTTTTTACCATCTCGCAGAATATGTTGCTTTAGTTCAGAAAATATCAAGAGACTCGAATGGTTTTTCTTTCCATTCTCTTCGGCGTCGTAACTAAATTACAACTAGTAATAGTTGACACTACAGCTGCCCCCGCTCTGTTCATTGTCGGTCAATAGTATTCTTGGTCGTTGTCTAGCTCTTTGAAATATACCGATTTATAAGGAAGATTTTACACATTTTCCATACCATAGGTGAAATAAAAACAGTAAACGCAAGGTTTTATGCACTGATTCAGTTCGATTGACACAGCTTTCATCACAACATTCTCACTTTCGTGAACCATACGAAAAGATTGATTAGCAGTTGGAATTTGTCGCTATTTCTCTTTCAGTTTTTACATACAGTTCATTTTATTAGCCGGAACGTAAGCCTTAGACTTTAAAAGTTTTGATCAATTCACGCTCGCGCGTTCTAGTCATTTCACTTTTAACCATTTAAAGACAATACTTTAAAGATGGACATTTGCGAGCAGCACAGAATTTAATTGTCAGCGAATTTCTGTAATCGTCCATTGCTGGTTTACACGTGACGTCACGGCGGCCATGTTGGTGGTCAAGAACGAAAGCATTTCTCTCCTCTGGGAACTCAACTCTATTTTCATGTAAATTCTTCGAGGAAATGTTCTTTTGTTTTGACCCCCATTATGGCCGCCTTGTCACGTGGTTGCAAACCAAGAATTGTACTGCCAGTGATAAGCTAGCCTTTGATTCACTTGTCTTGCTTGTTTGCGGACTGAGTCTTAATCCCGCAAAGAGATTGAAAGAGTTTCTGGCAAATTGTTTCCGATTTGTGAATGATAGACTCATGTCTGGCAAACGCCCCAGCCACTAGGATTCCTCCTAGGGAATTTCGCCCTCTGGGCGAAATCCCTGGAGCAATAACCCATTCTACAGTTTTAAAGACCTTTTTTCTTCCACTGGTCACTAAAGGGTTTAATAATCTTCTGTAACAAGTTATTTTTTTCGGGTTTTGTAGGAACCAACTTCGTCAATCTGAGATACACGCCTTTTGTAAATACTTTGTGTAACTGTTTTTAAGTATCTTATGTGAATATCCATCGACCACTATAATCTTGGAAGGCCGGTGCTGCTGCATGAGCGACTTTTTGAGCTTACTCCGTGGCCACTTCTCTTAAACGATGTCGCTGTCGTTAGAATATAGACAAACTCCAATCCATCGGAACATTTTATTCACCGCTTTACGGAATTCTCTTTTACGGATGGAATAGATAATCGGGTTGCATATTGCACTGAGGAAGAAAATGCACGTTGTAGAAAGAACTGCTTGGGCAGGAATATCGATTCCTGGGACGAACTGACGACAAATGCCTGTGACCCAGACGGGAAGAAAGCACACCAAAAATGCGGCGATGATAATGGATACATCCACAGCTGCTTTGCGATCCCTTAGTCGTCTCGATACGATCTCTTGCTGTTGAAGGTTTTCAGCATCGACAGGGCCACCCACTTGAACTTCAATGGCGTTTATCTGCCTTTTCGCCGTCTTATATACTGACACGTTTAGTAATACAATGATCAGAAATGGTATAACAAGGGTCGCGGTCGGGAAAACGACTCTTTCTGCTCTATACGACTCACTATTCTCAGTCCATCCCTGCTCGCAGAAGAACACCTCTGGGTTGTATACGTACTTTCCCCAACCGAGGAATGGACCGATGGAAAGTGGAATCGGAATTATCCAGATAAGAAACATACACACCACTTTGGTTTTTGTAATGGTGCCAGCGTAAGTCAAAGGCGACTTGACTATCGCTAGGTATCGATCATAAGACACTGCGAGCAAGTGAAGGACCGTGTTGATATAAAGGTATCTTATGAAGAATGAGTTGAGATAACACATTGTTTGGCCATATAACCAATGTTCTTGCGCTATGCTTTTGATGCGGAATGAGCTGACTAGGACCAACAGCAGAAAGTCTGACAAAGCGAGACTTGCCAGTAAAATATATCGCATCACATGAAATCTTGATTCCAAGATGATCGTCACTATGACCAATAAATTACCAGGAAGACCGATCACATCGAAAAGTGCATGGAAGGCTGCTATCACTGGAGGGAAGCTCATTTTTATCGGTGAAATCGAGGTAAATCATATGCTTTGCCTAAAGGTAATAAGTAAAGTAACCTTACATGTCAAAACCTTCTTCAATTTATGTGCTTTTACAGCTGACGGATGAATATTATTAAAGTTTTCTTTGGACAATGTATGCAATTTCTTTTCTTTCACTTGGTGGACGGAAATTTGGTTCTTATAAACAGTAACAAAAACGCCGACTGTGATTTTGAAAAAAAAATGTCGTCATTTTTGTTTATTCCAAAGATTGTAATAACAGTTATTTTTTAAAGATATCATGAGAAAGTAACATATGTGAAATTATCTAAAATTTCCTGAAGCCTTGTTTCGCTTCTTTTTCAATTTTATTTTCAGGGAAAAAATTTTCACATCGGTGTGAAAAAGAAAGTTAAAACAAGGCACCTGATTAGTACAAACTGGCCTGCTTGCAAAGGCCTCTTACTTCTCGAGATGTCTGCGCGCAATACCTTAAAAGTATAAGCGCCAATCGTTCTTGGGGAATTAGGTATTTGACAACAAACAAACAAACAAATAAAACAAAAATATTAACATAAACAACACTACTAACGTTAAATTCACTAACTTGCTCTTTTCATAATTCGGTTTCCATAACCTTTCTTTAATGTGTCCTCCAACTGGACGCTACATTTAGTCCTCTTACTCCTGGCGCGTGTGAGATATGGTTTTGATTTACAAAAAGGTAGTCAGTTCCTTATACCTGCGAATGACTTTTTAATGTTAATTTCAATGTTTAATGTTCATGCAAATTACATTTTTCTACAATTAGACTTTCCTCTTTCTGCAACTAGATTTTACTTTTTGTATACATTTTAAATCCTTATATTTTCCTTGGAAAGGCACCCCGCGCGGGTAGGAGTGTCCCGTTCGTGCCCGTCCCTTTTGGGTTTGATTCTCTAAGTGCGTATATTTTCAATTTTTTTTATATATATATATTATATATTTTATTTTTTGATTTGATCTTGCCCAATAAAGCTTGACATAATAATGTAATGGATACATCCTTTGAAAAGTTCTTCCAAAAAAGACTAAAACGAAACACTGCGAGTAAACCTGAATTCTCCCGCTCCCACCACCCCGACCGTACAAAATTGTCCCTGAGATCTCGGAGAGATTTTGGCCACTGAGATCCTAACATTCCGGCGGCCAAAATCTCGCCAGTATCCGAAAAATTTCGGCGGCACTGAAACTCACTGAGATCTCGTTACGATCTTAAAACCCCGAGCAAACGGACGCAACATTGTTGGATGTTACATGTTGCATCCGTTTGCACACCCTGTTGCATGTTGTTGGATGTTGTTGCCCAAAGTTTGAAACCGGTCAAACTTTTCAGCCAACAATTCCCAACATTTCTGTTTTTCCATGATCGCCGAAGCGTAGGGCAACAATGTTGGATCCGTTTGCACAGCTCTTACAACATTGTTGGGGCCACGCACGCTCATTACGCATGGATTACAAAGACTTATGGGTTGTATTCTTCCCATGATGCACTGCTGGTCCCAAACTTGTTGGGAGTTGTTGCATCCGTTTGCACACCACTGCCAACACGCACGCACCAACTCCCAACATTGTTGGCGCAACAATGTTGGGAGTTGTTACGCCCATTTGCACGCTGCCTAAAATCTCGGTGGCCAACAGCTCGGCTAGAGCTTGTCGGCCAATTAAACTGCTCGCTGACATCTCCTTCAACTCTGAGAATCTTTCGGCGAAAAGCACACCAAGATCCCCACTAGATCACAAAATACCACCAAACTATTAAAATACTTTATTTTATTAGACAAGAAAACAATTTTAAAAAAATGTTTAGAAAAGGGATCGTGAGGTTGCACACTTAGTAGCCCAATAGATTAATCTCTTCAGTTCAAGCTTGAAGGCTAAGCATATGCAGCAAGGTCCGATAGCACACGTCACCGCCGTAGCCAGTATGTCCGCTTGGCTCCGTGAGCGGAGCCATTTTAAAATGGTTTATGACAGCTAAAAATAAAAAAAATAGTCTGACTATTATAATCTTCTAAAGTATGCCGACTAAAGCATGTACGGACCGTGTGTTCGCCTCGATTGTAGTTTCTTCCTGGCTACGGCCCTACACGTATTGAATAATCTAACTTTTTTTTTTCAATTTTCGAAGTGGTGAATCTTTGATATCTTTAATTATTTGATAATTCTCGTATAATGAGGGGCATGTTAATATCATTGGAACATACCCAGTTTTAGTTTTGTCTAAGTGCAAAACTTAATGAAATATTCAGTATGCAGCTTCAGCTCCCTTTAAAATCTAACAAAAGAAGTAAGGAGTGACTCATATCCGTAATCCTCAGATATCCTTGTCCTGACACTATGTTAAATGTACTTGACTGAATTCTAGTAGGTTAAGATTTTGCTTTGGTATCTTGTCCATTAAGTAACACACATTAATGTACCATATTCTTGGGCGGATCCAGGGATGGTTCGGGTTTCGTTCGAGCCCCCTAAACCGAAATGTAAACGTTTAAACAAGAGCGTTTTCTGACGAAAAACTTTCGTGGACATACATCGCTAACAAATTCTAATTGTTATCTTTTGAAAGTGACTGTGATGAAAAGAAAAAAAACATTGACAAAGGACAGTCCTTTCCCGGTTTTAAATGCCCTGTTGGTTTCATTTTTGAAGGAACGAAAAGTGATTTTGAGAGCGCATGGCAAACACAAATTTATAACCGTTATTTCAGATTTATTTTCGTTATAGTCCGGGAGTTCTGCTCCAGGCCTTGGCCTTTATCTTTGCCAGCTCATCCTCAAACTCTAAAAAGCTATGTCGTCAGAGGATAGTGATCTGGCGTCATAGGCGCAAATTTTCATGTTGCAATAGCAGCCTGTCTGAACCAGAGATTCTTAGCACCCTTCACTCTGTTGTGAACCTTCCCGCTGCCTTGGGTAGGTGTTTCAGAGCTGCTGGGGACTGAGGGCCTTGATTGTCAATGTCGATCATTTTTTCCGAAGGTTGTCCAAGACTCACAAATAGACTCCATTGGTGTTAGTGGTCAGAAGAAGGGTCTCCATTGGTACCAATGGTACGATTGGTACCAATAGAAAAGCATCCTATTCCAATGGTTCTATTGGTGAATATGCATCTCATTAAGGAGACTTAGATTATTTTCTCATGTGGTCTAGCTGGGTACAGGGCAATTCCAATGGTCCATTGGTACCAATGATACGATTGGTACCAATGGAAAAGCACCCTATTCCAATGGTTCTATTGGTGAATATGCATCTCATTAAGGGAACTTAGATTATTTTCTCATGTGGTCTAGCTGGGTACAGGGCAATTCCAATGGTCCATTGGTACCAATGATACGATTGGTACCAATGGAAAAGCACCCTATTCCAATGGTTCTATTGGTGAATATGCATCTCATTAAGGGAACTTAGATTATTTTCTCATGTGGTCTAGCTGGGTACAGGGCAATTCCAATGGTCCATTGGTACCAATGATACGATTGGTACCAATGGAAAAGCACCCTATTCCAATGGTTCTATTGGTGAATATGCATCTCATTAAGGGAACTTAGATTATTTTCTCATGTGGTCTAGCTGGGTACAGGGCAATTCCAATGGTCCATTGGTACCAATGATACGATTGGTACCAATGGAAAAGCACCCTATTCCAATGGTTCTATTGGTGAATATGCATCTCATTAAGGGAACTTAGATTATTTTCTCATGTGGTCTAGCTGGGTACAGGGCAATTCCAATGGTCCATTGGTACCAATGATACGATTGGTACCAATGGAAAAGCACCCTATTCCAATGGTTCTATTGGTGAATATGCATCTCATTAAGGGAACTTAGATTATTTTCTCATGTGGTCTAGCTGGGTACAGGGCAATTCCAATGGTCCATTGGTACCAATGATACGATTGGTACCAATGGAAAAGCACCCTATTCCAATGGTTCTATTGGTGAATATGCATCTCATTAAGGGAACTTAGATTATTTTCTCATGTGGTCTAGCTGGGTACAGGGCAATTCCAATGGTCCATTGGTACCAATGATACGATTGGTACCAATGGAAAAGCACCCTATTCCAATGGTTCTATTGGTGAATATGCATCTCATTAAGGGAACTTAGATTATTTTCTCATGTGGTCTAGCTGGGTACAGGGCAATTCCAATGGTCCATTGGTACCAATGATACGATTGGTACCAATGGAAAAGCACCCTATTCCAATGGTTCTATTGGTGAATATGCATCTCATTAAGGG